CTCTCTCCCCCTCTCTCTCTCTCTCCTCTCTCTCTCTCTCTCTCTCTCTTTCCCCTCTCTCTCTCCTCTCTCTCTCTCTCTCTCTCTCTCTTTCCTCTCTCTCTCTCAACAGAAAGAAGACACTGTCACAGACTTACAAGATATACAACAGAAAGAAGACACTGTCACAGACTAACAAGATATACAACAGAAAGAAGACACTGTCACAGACTTACAAGATATACAACAGAAAGAAGACACTGTCACAGACTAACAAGATATACAACAGAAAGAAGACACCGAGCACAGACTTACACGATATACAACAGAAAGAAGACACTGAGCACAGACTTACAAGATAAACGACAGAAAGAAAACACTGAGCACAGACTTACAAGATAAACGACAGAAAGAAGACACTGAGCACAGACTTACAAGATAAACGACAGAAAGAAAACACTGAGCACAGACTTACAAGATATACAACAGAAATAAGACACTGTCACAGACTTACAAGATATACAACAGAAAGAAGACACTGAGCACAGACTTACACGATATACAACAGAAAGAAGACACTGAGCACAGACTTACAAGATATACAACAGAAATAAGACACTGTCACAGACTTACAAGATATACAACAGAAAGAAGACACTGAGCACAGACTTACACGATATACAACAGAAAGAAGACACTGTCACAGACTTACAAGATATACAACAGAAATAAGACACTGAGCACAGACTTACAAGATATACAACAGAAAGAAGACACTGTCACAGACTAACAAGATATACAACAGAAAGAAGACACTGAGCACAAACGTACAAGATATACAACAGAAAGAAGACACTGAGCACAAACGTACAAGATATACAACAGAAAGAAGACACTGTCACAGACTAACAAGATATACAACAGAAAGAAGACACTGTCACAGACTAACAAGATATACAACAGAAAGAAGACACTGAGCACAAACGTACAAGATATACAACAGAAAGAAGACACTGAGCACAGACTTACAAGATATACAACAGAAAGAAGACACTGTCACAGACTTACAAGATATACAACAGAAAGAAGACACTGTCACAGACTTACAAGATATACAACAGAAAGAAGACACTGTCACAGACTTACAAGATATACAACAGAAAGAAGACACTGTCACAGACTTACAAGATATACTACAGAAAGAAGACACTGTCACAGACTTACAAGATATACAACAGAAAGAAGACACTGTCACAGACTTACAAGATATACAACAGAAAGAAGACACTGAGCACAGACTTACAAGATATACAACAGAAAGAAGACACTGTCACAGACTTACAAGATATACAACAGAAAGAAGACACTGTCACAGACTTACAAGATATACAACAGAAAGAAGACACTGTCACAGACTTACAAGATATACAACAGAAAGAAGACACTGTCACAGACTTACAAGATATACAACAGAAAGAAGACACTGTCACAGACTTACAAGATATACTACAGAAAGAAGACACTGTCACAGACTTACAAGATATACTACAGAAAGAAGACACTGTCACAGACTTACAAGATATACAACAGAAAGAAGACACTGTCACAGACTTACAAGATATACTACAGAAAGAAGACACTGTCACAGACTTACAAGATATACAACAGAAAGAAGACACTGTCACAGACTTACAAGATATACTACAGAAAGAAGACACTGAGCACAGACTTACAAGATATACAACAGAAAGAAGACACTGTCACAGACTTACAAGATATACTACAGAAAGAAGACACTGTCACAGACTTACAAGATATACTACAGAAAGAAGACACTGTCACAGACTTACAAGATATACAACAGAAAGAAGACACTGTCACAGACTTACAAGATATACTACAGAAAGAAGACACTGTCACAGACTTACAAGATATACAACAGAAAGAAGACACTGTCACAGACTTACAAGATATACTACAGAAAGAAGACACTGTCACAGACTTACAAGATATACTACAGAAAGAAGACACTGTCACAGACTTACAAGATATACAACAGAAAGAAGACACTGTCACAGACTTACAAGATATACTACAGAAAGAAGACACTGTCACAGACTTACAAGATATACTACAGAAAGAAGACACTGTCACAGACTTACAAGATATACTACAGAAAGAAGATACTGGGCACAGACTTACAAGATATACAACAGAAAGAAGACACTGGGCACAGACAGAGCCAGCTGTAGATGATTCCAGTGTCGCAAGCCATAGGCCAGACCTGTCATGATGAACATGCCGACCACCCAGTAGATCTCGATGACTATGCCAGCAATGGTTCTCTTACTTGGTCCAACAATTTCCAATCCTGAAAACAAAAATCACAAAAATTTCACTGGTTATATTTATGTTCTTCTTTTCTCTTCTTGTGTCGTTTCACTGATCCCCTGGCGTAGCACAGTGTCGTGGCTTTCTGTATTTGTCTTGCGCTTTTTGAGTAGCTTGGGTGATGGATTTGTTCCTCTTTTTTTTGTGTGTGTGTGTGGTAGGTTTCAGCTACATCATTTATTCATTTTTTTTTTCTTGGTCTTCCCCTGCCTTCCTCTCAGATGTTTTTATGCTAGTAGTGATATGCTGTTCTGCTGAAAGGGATCATTTGGCTTATTTGTATACTATCAACTAATATTGAAATTGTTTCCAGGCTTGTGTGTACGAGCACTTTGTACGCTGTATTATTATCTGTAAACAACACATCGCCGTGTGATTTAGATGCAATACGAAAGGAAGTAAACAAGCAAAGAACCTTCTCTGTCAGTGGCTACCGGGCATATGATGCTAGACACATATTTTCAGATGAGACCACATCTCAAGGCCACCTATACTTCCCAGGACATTGTCCGGTACCTTCTTTATCTAGGTTTACATGGAAACCAATGTCAGTTGTGAACTACAAATTCGTAAATGATGTAGATTCGAACCCAAGACGAAGCTAAATTACAGTGGTAGCCAAAAGTTTAGGACCATTTATTCAGTAATTGCTATTTCCAAACTATTATAGAGCATCGCTTCAACCGCTACTTTTGAACAAAACTATTCACTGCCTCCTATCAAAATATCTTTTCATTATAACGTGTGAAAACACAAGACTAGCTTCTTCTTCTTCTTTCGTTCGCCTGAAATCAGTTGTCTATATCAGCAGTTTTGTCTCTTGTATAAATTTCACTGTCGTTGTTAGTTCATTTAGTGGTCCATAGAGTGTACGTTCCACTGTTGTTCTTTCTGTCCAAAAGATTTGCCTTAATGTGTCAAATTCGGTGCACTCCTGGAGTACATGTTCTGCTGTCTGGGGCACATTTCCACAGGTGCACATGGCTGATACACCTATCTTGAATTTTGTGTACATGTGGTTACGTAATCGATTGTGCCCTGTTCTGAGGCGGATGATAGTGACTTGTTCCGGTCTGTCCAAAATAAAATAGTCGTCTTGTGCTAGGGCTGGTGTGGTAACGCTGACAGATGCTAAATCCGTACTTGAAGCACTCTAGTCTAGGAAACTACCAGAATTGCAAACACTGCTGACACAACTCAGCTTTCAGCGAAGAGTGGTAATGCAGTGGATACCGTCTTATTCTGGAGTGCCTGGAAATGAGAAAGCTGATCAACTGGCAGGGGAAGGTGCGACAAAAGTGCAGCCGGATGTACCAGTCACATACCACCAAAAGAAAAGAATAATTAAATCGATCAGGAAACAAGACTTGCTATATATAAAGCATTTGAGTTGTTTCGATAATATTATAGAGTGGAAATAGCTAAACTGTGGTCACTTGTTATCATTCTAAGGTCTCTAGTACACGGTCATCGAGTATGAATTACAGCTGTTATTATAAAAGAAGTATTTAATGGATATACACACGGGGCATCTTGAAATGTTCACAATATTTAAAGTTTTGTATGACTTTGTTTGACCGTGAAGCATGACCGAAGGGTGAGGCTGCTAGACAACTGTGTTCCCTCCACATTATAGTGATTTGGCGCGTGGCGGTATATTGACCATCTAACAGAAGGTTAAGTTTGTGTTGTGGTATCATCATCATCATAAACCACTAATGCCGTTAAGCTTTGTGGGGAGGAATAATTTGCGATCCTGTGCACGTTGGCTGCCACTGGCTATTGTCATGCCGTAAAGGCATGTTGTGGTATGCCGAACTGAAATCGGCTGTGAAACAACATAGCTGGCGACGTTTAAATCCACACACACAGAGAGAGACAGAGACACACATACATACACAAAAGCCCTCCATGTGACAAAGCTTTGGAAGCCGGCAGTGGTGAGAAGAGAGAATCTTTTGGTCGACCAAGAATATTGGAGGACGATGTGGAACGCCTAAGGCAGCACATATAAAGCAGTGGCCCGTAAAGGGTTAGCATACGGATTAAAAGAAAAAATGCTATTCAAACTTATCTGCACAAACGATAAAAGGCGATCTTACAGTGTTCAGCTACTGCCTTACATTAAACCGAACAGGATGGAGGGGGAGGGGATGGGGGGGGGGGGGGGAAATCATGTCGAATTGGCTAAATTAATGATTTAAATCATTACGATGTAACTTTCCTAAAGTGTGTTAGTTTTAGACATGAAGCAATACTGTATGCGAATAATCGCGTTAATTGACATAATTGTCGCATGTGTGGTTCACACTCAACGAGGGAGATTTATAACTATGTTCGCCGGTCCCCTAAGTAGCAACTGGTGCCCTGCTACTCCGGCGTTATTAGCCCTTTCTTCTTTGACGAAAACACTATTATCTGACTTGTGGATCTTGACAAGCTTGAACAGTACGTGTTTCCACAATCTGAAGACTGGGAACAATAAAAAGGGAACAGAGCTAATTTCGTGCAGAACTGAGCTCTACCTATTTCAGTCGCATTTCTAAGAATGTCTTTAAATAAGAAATCAACAGAATTGCTACATAGATTATTCAGTAAAGTCTGGGAGACCGAAGAAATACCAGCAGACTGGAGAGAAGGATATCTTGTGAAACTGCCCAAAAAAGGTGATCTACAGGAGTGTGAAAACTATAAAGGAATTATGTTGCTCTCAGTTCCTGGAAAAATATTAAGTAGAATTATTTTGGAAAGATTAAAAGATGCTATTGATAAAATGCTAAGAGATGAGCAGGCAGGTTTTCGGTCAAACAGATCCTGTACTGACCAGATAGCGACATTACATATTATAATAGAGCGAAGCATTGAACTGAACTCACCACTTTACATTGGATTTATAGACTATGAAAAAGCATTTGACAGCATTGATCTAGAATGTCTTTGCATTGGAACCCACAGGGGCATAGGAATAAAGGAAGGCCAAAAAACACATGGAGAAGAGAGCTGGAGAATGAGGTTAGAAAGATTGGGAGGACATGGGGAGAGCTCCATGCAATGGCGAAGGAAAGAACGACTTGGCGTGAGTTGGTTGAGGGCCTATGCTCCATTGGGGGGTAGAAAGGCAGAAGAAGAAAATGCCTGGTTTGAGCAATACCCTGGCCACCTCAAAGCCCACACCTTATATCACTAGATCTTGTTCTGTAATGATTCGTTAAACCCTTTGTGTTCGATGAGAAGATAACGGACATCCACTAACTAAAGAGACGATCGCTGCAGTCGTTGTAGTTGCAAATCTGGACATGATTCAGAAGACGTGACAGAAGTTGCGTACAGTTTAGACCAGTGATTATCAACCTTCCTGACGCCGCGACCTATTATTACAATTCCTTTTGTTGTGGCAACCCTTTAATACAGTGTTCCTCATGTTTTGGCGACCCTGTAATACAGTGTTCCTCATGTTGTGGCGGCCCTTTAATACAGTGTTCCTCATGTTGTGGCGACCCTTTAATACAGTGTTCCTCATGTTGTGGCGACCCTTTAATACAGTGTTCCTCATGTTGTGGCGACCCTTTAATACAGTGTTCCTCATGTTGTGGCGACTCTTTAATACAGTGTTCCTCATGTTGTGGCGACCCTTTAATACAGTGTTCCTCATGTTGTGGCGACCCTTTAATATAGTGTTCCTCATGTTGTGGCGACAGATTTAATACAGTGTTCCTCATGTTGTGGCGACCCTTTATTACAGTGTTCCTCATGTTGTGGCAACCCTTTAATACAGTGTTCCTCATGTTGTGGCGACAAATTTAATACAGTGTTCCTCATGTTGTGGCGACCCTTTAATACATTGTTCCTCATGTTGTGGCGACCCTTTTATACAGTGTTCCTCATGTTGTGGCGACCCTTTAATATAGTGTTCCTCATGTTGTGGCGACAGATTTAATACAGTGTTCCTCATGTTGTGGCGACCCTTTATTACAGTGTTCCTCATGTTGTGGCAACCCTTTAATACAGTGTTCCTCATGTTGTGGCGACAGATTTAATACAGTGTTCCTCATGTTGTAGCGACCCTTTATTACAGTGTTCCTCATGTTGTGGCAACCCTTTAATACAGTGTTCCTCATGTTGTGGCAACCCTTTAATAGAGTGTTCCTCATGTTGTGACGACCCTTTAATGCAGTATTCCTCATGTTGTGGCAACCCTTTAATACAGTGTTCCTCATGTTGTGACGACCCTTTAATACAGTGTTCCTCATGTTGTGACGACCCTTTAATACAGTGTTCCTCATGTTGTGGCGACCCTTTATTACAGTGTTCCTCATGTTGTGACGACCCTTTAATGCAGTATTCCTCATGTTGTGGCAACCCGTTAATACAGTGTTCCTCATGCTGTGGCGACCCTTTAATACAGTGCTCCTCATGTTGTGGCGGCCCTTTAATAGAGTATTCCTCATGTGGTGGCGACCCTTAAATACAGTGTTCCTCATGTTGTGGTGACCCTTTAATACAGTGTTTCTCATGTTGTGGCGACCCTTTAATACAGTGTTCCTCATGTTGTGGCGACCCAAAACCATAACATTAATATTGTTGCTACTTCATAACTTCAATGAATACGTTTTTCCATGTGGTCTTAGGCGACCCTTGTGAAAAGATTGCACCCATTTTTTTTACTAAAAACTGTCTTCATTTAATAATTTTGTACAATTCATATACAAGTGTATGGAAAACTTTAGGGTGGCCCTTGACTTTTGACGAGTAGTATATATATATATATAATACATGTTCACGGGAGTCGCCGTGGCGGAGCGGCTATACGCTCGCTACCGATCGGAAGGTCGTGGGTTTGCTTCCTGGCAGAAGCGGACATTTTTTTCAAAATGACCTTGGCTCAAGTTGGTACCGGGTGCAGTCCCAGGAAGTGAAGTCGGCCGGCGTGATGCTGACCACATCACCCATCTTGTGCCAATTGGTCTATAAAATATAGATCTAGCCCTATATGCCCTAAACACATAAAGGCGTGGAAGAGGGTCCTTTGCTTTATTTTTTTACTAATGCATATAATAACATTATATTATTAATTACATTTTCAATGTTTAAAAAAATCAAACAAAATGTTGTGATTATGTCTATGATTGTGACTATGAGTGTGTCTATGTCTACATACCGATAACAAAAGACGTCAGAAACATGCCGGATCCAAAAATCATAATCAACACCCGGACAACTACGAAGGGGATGTATGACGTCATAAAAGCTAGAGCAACAGAAGTGCCCAGATTACCCACAATACCCAGCATCAGAACTTTCTTTCGACCCACTCTGAAACAAAATTATAAAATAGTCCAATTGTTGTAAAGTTTGTTTTTTAAAACACCATTCAAAAAGCATGGCTCTTTGAGACAAACAACAACTCCTAATTCTAATTCGGTAATAACATGTTCTTTCTTCGAGCATTTGTTTTTGACTGTATTTAACTTTCGCTTCATCTCTTCAAAGTTGTTTTCCAACTTTAAATGGTTAAAATTAAACTAACATTAGAATTAGAAACCTGGTTCTAAAACTATACAGTTAAGAGTTCCAAGGTATGTTCGGTCAGTTAAAAGCCATTATTGCCTTGCCAGTGTATCATAATTTCTTCTTTTTGTTTGTTTCCTTAGTAGTAATAGTAATGGGGTTTCTCTTAATGGCAGCCCCCTCCAAGACGTGAAGTCGTACACCTATTTGGTCAGAAATGTAGATAAAGATGGAGGAGCTGATATAGATATTAAAATAAGAATACAAAAGGCAAGAGGAGCTTTCATAGCACTAGGGAATTTGTGGAGGTCAAAAGAAATTAAAAGAAATACTAAACTTAATTGTGTATGGGGCATAAACATGGAGAACGACTAAGGCAACTACTAATAAATTACAGACATTCATTAACTGGTGCCTGCGTAGAAAAGAGGGAATTAAATGGTATGATAGAATAAATTATGTAGAGCTTTGGGAGAGAACTAAACAGGCTCCAGTGGACCAAGAGGTGAGGAAAAGACGCTGGCGTTGGATGGGACACACACTGAGAAAACAAGAGAACAGCATAACTAGAATGTCTTTGCATTGGAACCCTCAGGGGCGTAGGAATAAAGGAAGGCCTAAAAACAGGCAGAGAATAGAGCTAGAAAGGAAGTTAGAAAAATGAGGAGGACATGGGGAGAGCTCCATACAATGTCGAAGGATAGAACGACTTGGCGTGAGTTGGTTCAGTGCCTATGCTCCACTGGGAGATAGAAAGGCAGAGGAAGAAGAAGAAGAAGACATACATAGAACCGTCCCCATGTGGGATGCAATTGTTTTAATTTTTTTGTTTGAAGCTCAACCTTGGCTTCTGCCAGGGGCCCTGAATATAGCCGGGGCATAGATATGGCCTAACGGCTGAAAGCAGTTTCTGGGACCTCTCCACCTGTGATCCTCATCCGTATGGTGGCACTTTGTGTCACCGGGTGTTTATCGCTTGTGTAATGTTCTGGTGGGGTACAACTACCTACCTACCTGATAAGACATGTTTTGCTTTAAAAAACATAGTATTTACTTACAAGTCTGAGAGAGAGCCCATAAATATGGCTCCAAACATCATGCCTCCCATCATGATCATGTTGGCGTAAGTTCTCAGGTTGATTTTTTCACAGACAAGATTATCCTGTCGGTAGAGTTATAATATAGTAGTTCTAGGACTAACTGTGTCATTGCAAGACAAAACTGATTTGTTTTAGTTTTCTGGCAATATGTCCGTCTCAGTCTGTCTGTCAGTCTGTCTGTCTGTTTGTCGGTCGGTCGGTCGGTCGGCCGACCGGCCGCGTGCGTGCGTGCGTGCGTGTGTGTGTGTGTGTTTGTTTGTGTGTTTGTGTGTTTGTGTGTGTGTATGTGTGTGTGTGTGTGTGTGTACGTACGTACAAGCAGGCGCACCGCCTCCAAGAAAGCATTGGGTGCTGAGAGGAGCTCAGATTTTTTTTTCAGCACCACTCGGCCTCCCACCCCCCTCCCCGCCCCGACCCGCCCCCCCCCCATCCCAATAAACAACGAAAACAAAGTTAGGTGAAATGCTCAGTGCCCCTCCCTTTCAGACCACGCTCTCTTCATTCCCTAGTATTAGCGAGATTGTTAAAGGTCTAACTCTTTGAGTCCCAGTGGGTTTTGCATCAGAGACCTAAGGGGTGGTCAAAAGAGATGTAAAATCGGCGCATCTTGCATTCATTGGGCCTCTATGCGGCAACCTATGAACGTATGATGCGTTCCTTGGGACAGTTAATGCCCGTCTCTCTAGCGTAGTTGGCTAAACCGGATTGCGCGGTGAGCGTGTGACGAACTCCTTGTGGTCCGGGTTCACTCCCGGTGGTGGGCAGAAAAGCCACATTTCTCCCAGATTTACAGTATTTAAAATGGAAAGGTTGCGATATCTATAATACCGAGCCTAAGGGTTAACAACTCATGGCTTCTGGATTCCATGCCGTGAGGCGTTGGTAGTCATGTCTATCCACAACCCTCTGTCTTGTGTACTGTCAATCAGCTGTGACACAGATATTCTTGCATACCATAATGTCAAACTGTCCAGCATCTGTTCTCTCCGTCTCCCTCTGCCTCTCCTCCAACTTTCCTATCGTCACGACGCACTACCGTTTTATCCTTCTCATCACATGAGCAAAGAATGTAGATGGTCTCTTTTTGATGTGGGCAATCAGTACGTGAGTGAATTTCTTTCAAGACGTCTTCATGACTCTTTTTATCTGTCCATGGTATTCTCCTCATTCATCTATAAAGGAATCACATCTCTGCAGCTTCCAAAAAAGTTTTCACTAATTTACTAACAGTACATGATTTACATCCATTTATCAATATAGGATTTATATAGCTTTTAGGAATTCGCTTTCTCGTCTCATTTGACAAAGAAAGATTGCTTAAAATATTCATTTTGTAAAATGCTTCCATTGCTTGAGCTATTCAACATTTCCCTTCCTTAATACATCTTCTATCTGATGTTATCAGGGTACCCAAGTACTTAAACATATCAAGTTGCTTGGGGTGTGTCCCAATTACTTTGATGTTGCCTTCTGGAGGGTCAGTTTTGTTTGCAATTACCATTACTTCTGTTTTTCTGCTGTTCAAACTAGGGCTGTACCGAATAGTAATTTTCACTATTCGGCCGAATACAAATAGCGGGACCAACTATTCGGCCTAATACGAATACGAATAGTGTATAAAATATATCTAAAATACACACACACACACACACACACACACACACACACACACACATTAATAATGTCAAAAGTATGCTGAACTTTTACTTCACATAAAGTAGCACAGAAAAGTCAGATTTTATATATATTATCATAGATACTTTACTTGGATGGAGCAGTGGAGTACTTTATATTTTCATATTTTCGACATGTCTAGTTAGTATTCGTACAGACTAGTAAACATTTAAAAACATTTTATGTTTTGCATCCTTCAGCCAGTCTGTGGTAACTAATACCTAGAAATTAAAGTATTCTAAGTATTATAAAAAGCTAAACTTGGAAATTGTCACTGACAGCTTAGTTCATGCATTAAAACTGTATTAGCATTCAACAAAACCAATCGTTCCATGTTGTCAGCATTAAAGCCGTGTATGCAGAAGCTGGTGTAAGGTAACTACTATTCGTATTCGGCCCTACCGCAACTATTCGGCCGAATACCGAATAGTCAACAGGTCCACTATTCGGCCCCGAAGCGAATACGAAGCGAATATTTTGTACAGCCCTAGTTCAAACTAAGACCCTTGTTTTCACTTCCGTTAAAATTATATCTACCATTTCTTGCAGTTGTGTTTCATTTTCAGCGATCAAAACTCTTTCGTCAGCATATCGCATGTTGTTAACAAGATGCCCACCAACCGCTATACCTGGCATACCATGCATAGATCTAATAATTAGTTGACTGAACAAATGGAATAAATCTGGTGATAGTACACATCCCTGTCTAAGCCTTGTTTCATGTTTTGACTGATGCCAGCTTGGTTGTCACTCCCTATGGCTGCTTCTTGTTGCCAGTATTTTTTTATTTTTTTTTTTATTTTTTTTATTCAATTGAAGATCTTTACTATGAATGTTTAAATTTTCAAAATTTTAAACATTTCTTCATGTTTCACTTTATCAAATGCTTCAGTGTAATCAATAAAGCACAAATACAAAAAGGCTTCAAAAGAACACCGTAAAAGTGTGATAGAAATGACATTGCCAATGCCATTGTCTTGTAACCCCGTTAGTATTATTGTTAAGGGAGTTAAGAGTGTTAAGCACGTGACATCCTTGTGCAGACGAATACGGTGACCTTATAATGACAGTTTCGATAAGGCCGCACCAAAGAGGAGTAGCGTTCTTTTATCCGAATAGTATTCAGTTGTTCTTCTTGTTTGCGTTCACTGGCTGTAAATTCCGGCGGAAAGTTCTAGTTGTTTGTCCACTTCTGGACTCTAGTCCTGTTCGATAAACTGAGTGTTGTGTGCACATCCGTTTCACAGGTCTGACTCATTTGTGGTTCATGCCTGTCAGGCAGATGTACTCCGACTTCTAAGGAAGCTTCTAACTAGTCGACTCTTACGACATGCTCCTGGGCAAGCATTGGATCTATTATTGTTTTCTCCACACTGGGGAACCGGAACCCGCAGAGGGAATAATCAATAGAGAGGAGTTTATCGAGGAACGAAAGTCCAGTGTGTTGATGCATGCCTGCTTGGAAATCGAAAAGAGTAGCCTAATGTTGCTACCCCAGCAAAAAATTTATATAAATCAGGTTAAAACTAAGGAAAGCTAAAACAGGAGAACAAAAACCCCTAGCGATATGATGTAGGAAAATTGCAAGACACACATATCAAACAGTTATTCAAGACAGAACTCAGAAATAGATTCAGCATTTTACAAGAAGAAACAGAAATGGTAATCGAAGCAGTAAAATTAACAGGGAAGAAAATATTGGGATTTGGCGGTCCAAAAAAAAGAGGAGTTGATTTTCCAATCGACGTGGGAGAAAATAGCACAACGGTAAGATATTAAAAGACTAATGTTAGATGCTACTCTCAACAACAGCTGTTTACAACATAATATGAGAATCAGTACAGAAAAAACAGAAGTTATGAAGATCAGCAGAACACACAGGCCACTGAATAAAAATGTTGGAAGTGCCAAAATCAAGCAAACCAAAGAGTTCAAATACTTGGGCAGTATATTTACAGAGGATGGAAGAATGGACAGAGAGATAGAAACAAGAATACAGAAAGCAAATGCTGTCACATACCAACTATCACCTCTGCTTAAACATCCAGATATAACCATGAAGACCAAAAGACAATTGATAAACACCATCTTCATTCCAACACTCTGCTACCAGTGCCAGACATGGACAATCAACAAGACCCATGAAAGAAAAATAGAAGCCTGTGAAATGAAATGTCTAAGAAAAGCAGCGAATAAGACAAGACTAGACAGGATAAAGAATATAGACATTAGAAACACTGTCAAAACTACACCATGTTTAGACTACATAGAACATCAAAGAATGAAATGGTTTGGACATCTAACCAGGATGAAAAATGATCAAATAACATCACAAATTTTCAATCAAAGAAGCTCAGGATATAAGGCAAGAGGAAGACCAAGGAAACGGTGGATTGACGGGGTCTCCGAAACCTGCCAAAAGCATGGCCTCAGAACATCAGATGCTGCCCGCCTTGCTTATGACAGGAACTTGCATCTCCCCACAACGCTTAGCGGCATACGTGGAAGGAAAAAGTAAAGTAAGTAAGTAATGTTAGATGCAAAATCAGGCAGATTGGAAGGACATTTTTTAAAAGAATATGCACTAAAGAACAATAAGGTTAAAGCAGAAGCAAAAGCAAATAAACTTTCGTATATTGGAAAACTAGTAACAGAAGCAGAGGAAGCAGCGGATAAGCGGGACATCCAAACATTGTAGAACATAGATAAGAAACTGACAGGAAATGTGGTATTCCAGAAAACCTTACCTTTAAAAAAAAAGAGGGAGAAAATGATTACAGCCGAAAAAAGAAAAAATATAAAGGTAGTCGAGACCCACCTGTACTTGCTGATATACCTAAGGCACAGGAAGACTTACTGATGAGCCTAGAGCCTTTTTCAGAGGCAGAGGTAAGGGAGGCGATTAAAGCTCAGAAGGTTAGCAGAGCACCTGTCTCTGCTCAGAATTGCTAAAAGTGGAGGACATTGAAACGCCAAAACTATTGTGTAAGATTTTTCAAGAAATCTGGAACAAAGAAGAAATCCAACAGGAGTGGAAAAAGGGTACTATTATTAAATTACCAAAGAGTTGAGTTGAGTTGAATTGATTCAAGAACCGATATCACAGCACTCGAGGCATTCCCATAAGTGCCCCGTCCCCATCTTCAGCAGCCACTCTGCACGAAGCATACCTGTCTCCAACTTTCTCAGCATGCTCTGTGAGTCACTTACAAATATGAAACATGTGTACAGCTGATTCTCAAGTTTGCGGAAGTGACTGCCTCCATCATTATTCTCAAACTAGAAGTTCTGGTATCATCTGCCACGCTTTACTGCACTTAGCGACGTCCAATTGGTTTTGCTAGAAAACCCTATGCACTTCGTCTACTCCTCAACACAGAGCCATCTGTATAGATAAATCAATCACCTGGGTGGGAATTGTCATGAATCATTTGTTGAACTTCTGATTCTGCAGCACCAGCTGGCCAGTTCCTGCACTCACGGCTTAAAGTGATAAAAACCCAAAACAATGCTCGAACACCTTGACCCACTCCTCTCCTCGCTTAAATTTATCTACACATATGACCAGTTGTGTCTTCAGCTTGCGTCAATCAAGACCTTTCTATTTTCAGTCTGTGACCCTTAGCTCTACCTTGGGTTTCACGCAGGAGGTGCTTCTTGTCTGCAGCTACTCTGAGATATAACTTTGCTTGCACAACTGTGAGTCTGTCTGCAATAGTAGGCAGTGCAAGTACATAACGCATACATACTACCGGGGTATCTCTTGTACATCCCAGAATTACCTGCATAGCTTCATTCTTGTGCGTTCGAGTTTTATCAGCTGACACTTGATATTGCAAGCATTCCAAGTCCATAATCTATCAGCGACAGGATCACATGCTGGAACATTGTGAACAACGTTCTTAGTTCTATGTCCATTGCTGCCATAATCTTGAGAGCATTAAGACCTTTTTTTTTTTTTTTTGTCAATTTACCGCAACTGCTCCCATATAATCCCTAATGGGCAGGCTTCTATCGAAAATTATACCCAGGTACTTCAGTTTGCCTTCTCTTTTGATGTTTCTGCCATTAATTGTGAGGCTTGGAACATTAGCTCTTACAATTCTATTGTCAAGAGAGCACCACAAAACAGCCGCCTTTTCTGAGTTGTTGACAGACCCATCTCTGCACACCAGTCAGTCACTTTGTCTACAGTGGCCTGTAGCTCTTGGGCTATCCGTTGCCTATTACTCCTCTGCCTGTATAGAAAAACATCATCTGCAAATGTCAATATCCTTCCAATACCTGGTGCTTCAAGTTCTGCAGTCTTGCTTGTATACACATTGAAGAGCACTAGTGAAATTACAGAACCCTGGGATAGTCTTGGTTTTGAGGTCCATGTACTCAGGCAAAGGACAACCATATGTGAATACAAGACAGCTGCTATCCATCTCACCAGCCAGGGACAAACCTCCTTCTCCATGAGCACAGATATCAGAATACCATATCTAACTCTACTGCAGCCATCCTCAAGATCAGGTGCTGCCACTACCGTCATCCGTCTATTCTAAAACCTCTCATAAACATCCAAAGCAAAAGTAGCTGCATTTGACCAGGTATCTTTCCTTCACCGGTAACTATCCAAACCTTTTGGCAGGAGCTCTTCACTTTCCAAAAGCACTTGTAGCAATAATTTTCTCTAGCACTTTGCTAAAAGTATTTTGTAGGGTGAAAATCCTGAAACCGCTGGTCTGGAATGATATTTGCCTCGTTTTGGAAGTGGGATTAGGTAGTTATGTGCCCAATCCTGGGGTGCTAAAGCTGTTCTGATGCTCTGGTTGAAATGAAAATCCATCTCTCTCAAGTCACCACTCATTCTCTTCATGGGCGAACATTGACCGTCTGTCCTGGGCACATTATCCTCTGTTTTGTTTTTTGCAGTATATATTTTATATCCGCCACCCTAAAGATATCTTGAAAATAATTATCATCTGCAGTATTGCACAGATTATCTCTAACTGAATTCCTAAGTTCCCTATCATAACGATCTGTCTAGACTATAGATCTCTCCAAAAATGCTCCCCCTTTCTCTTTGTCTGTTGTCATTGGCATACCATTAGTGTATATAATACCTGCTGTGATAGGCCGATCCTTCCTTTGCATCTGTCTTTGAAATTTCCAAAGCCTACTAAGTGATTTATCCCCACTGATTTCGCCCATGAAATGTTCTCATTTAGACTTCTTTGTATCTCCTGCTTAAACTTTTCTACTTGTTCTTTTCTAATTCTTTTTAGCTTCTTTATATCCTCTTGTAACACGTGAGGTATCTATCATGCTTTCTGTAATTGTTTAGCTGCTGTTCGCTTGCCTCGCCATGCCTGTTCTACTTCTTGGGTCCACCATGAAGGCTGTATTAAAGCAGAGGTGGTGGTTCTGCTGCATACCTTTTTTCAAAGGCGTCCAAGAAGGGTACAGGCTCTCTTACACTCAAAAGTCTTGCGCGACCTCACAGCCCTGGTTTTGCTAGCTTTAGACATCAAGACTGATCATGGCAAATGGTCACTCTTGTGATCGCTTAGGAAATCCCATTTTGTGTCCAACACTGCTGACTGGGTAACAAAAACCAAATCGATAGTTGTGTCTGCATCTCCAGGTCTCGTTGCCATTCTAATAAGCCTACCGTCGTTTATGCAAACTACGTTTGCATCCACTATAGCCTCTGCTAAAGCATTTCTTGTCTATTTTCCCCAGTACTGTCCCATGTTCCGTTCAGCTCATTGAAATCCCCACAGATGAGACGCATATTATCAGTTAGTTGTAAGAACTAACTTTACCCTGCTGTTGACTCTCTTGTCACAAAGGAACATTGTTGTAAACATTTACTAAATTCCAGGTTGTGCCCTCATTATCTATGTGTATACCCTGAACCTTTAGTGTACGATGATTCCACTGGTCCAGGCCAAGAACCACATGCTTCATCCCATTCCTCACCAGCAGACACTGCCAATGTCTTCCCTGTCCAGTAGGATTTATGTAACTAATGTATCCAGGACACTCATAACTATCTATATTACATTTCTGCAGCCAGATGATACGCGTATCAAAGTCATAAATCAGTCTCTCCAGTACAGGATATTTGGCGACTAGCAACAATTTAAATATCTAGTGCTAAAACTCGTTCTGTCGATAATATACCCAGTTATCGATAATACTAATCGTATTTATCCTACGGCGTGGCCTGACAGCTAATAGAAGACGGTCATCTAGAACCATGACCGTGAGCTATCAGCAGTAGCCGAAGCAAGAAGGGTTGGTATTGTAAGAGCATTAGAGATACATGACCAATAATCCTGAATTAATTTCTTGTTTCCTTGAAGTGTATTTCCTGTCGGAGTCTGTGGCTCAGGCGTTGCCAATGCGCTTCGTAATTCTGGGTTTCAGGGTTCGATCCCAGCTGTCGGTCATTTGGTAGCAGACCGCCTTGCGTTCGTTTCGACAGTGATATCGAGTTCGACTGTTCAGTATGCAATAGCATACTGCTGGACGTAAAAATTAGCTTTCAAAACCGCCCCCCCCCCCCCCAAAAAAAAAAGGAAGTGGTGTCTTCTGCAACGTCCTGTTAAGGAGACTTAGCTAACTTGTGGCCACACCCTGCACATCGTAAAAGTGCGCATGTTTATAAATTGACCTTTGACTTCCAGCCCGACCCAACCTAAAACCAGACGGCATGAGATACTTTTAGATGTCAACAAACTATTTTTACCTCAGTTATAAAGGTGGACTGGAACGGATCTTTCTTGTACACCCATTTATTGCAGCCTGTGGTTTCATTGGTGTAGAAACTGGACACCTCATCTCGTCGAAACACAGTGCACTTGGAGAAGGTCTGAGTTTCATTAGACCATGGTATCATCTGTTTTGCCAGTACATCGTGCCAGTCTCCTTGACTTTCGTAAGTGTCGTTTAGAAGATCGGGGATAGCACATCTGTAGAATACTTCCAACTGTTACCAGTCATACAAAAGTAAACAAATAAAAAGACACATACACAAGTAAGCAGTTAAAGGACTCATACAACAGTAAACAAATAAAGGAATCATAAAACAGTAAACAATTAAAGGAATCATAAAACAGTAAACAATTAAAGGAATCATAAAACAGTAAACAATTAAAGGAATCATAAAACAGTAAACAATTCAAGGAATCATAAAACAGTAAACAATTCAAGGAATCATAAAACAGTAAACAATTAAAGGAATCATAAAACAGTAAACAATTAAAGGAATCATAAAACAGTAAACAATTAAAGGAATCATAAAACAGTAAACAATTCAAGGACACATAGCAAATAGTTAAAGAAATCATACAAAAATAAACTAGCTTATAAGTTATTACAATTGGGAGATAATTGAATTTTTATTCTACTAAATGAAGGTGCCTTCCTTGTCCTTTTCCTGGCAAAATTTGAATTATGTCATCAAAATCAATCATTTTTGTAAGACTAGAATGAAAACCAAGTTTTGTCGAATCTACCAGTCGCCCTTGTGACATAATCCATCTTAGACGATTGGTTAAAAGCTTTAGTTGGCTGAATGGGCACTCTGTAGAGACGACGACAAGGTAAAGCAGAATACGGAGGCGGACACATATATCTAGAAATAGTCCTTCCAGGTAGGTAATTGTACCCCACCAGGACATCACACAAGCGATAAACACCCGGTGACAAAGTGCCACCATACGGTTCAGGATCACACGTGGAGAGGTCCCAGAAACCCCATTTAACCGTTAGGTCATTTTTAAGACACGGCTATATTTAGGGTCCCCGAGCCAGGGTGGGCTTCATAATTACGAAAAATTGCATTTCACATGGGGACGACGACAATTTTGACCAGCTCGTATCTTTTAAACAAGTTAAGTTCCAACTGAGTCAAATGGCCCAATCCAAAATACGTATGATGAACAGATGACTTATATATCCATTAGATGTCTTCGCTGATTTCAGCTAGATATTACCGATCTGCCAGTAATTTTGATTTTTCTTCAGGTCATCTTGAGAAATTTATAAGTACTTCCGTGGGGAGCTGAACTTCTCAAAAATGTTAACTTCAGCGTTAAAACGGTCAGTCCACCAGTAACTTTATCCAATATTACACAGAAGACAAACCTTCTAGAATATGCTTCCTCCGGGGATTCATCTATTTCATCTTGTTATGACAAATCTGCTTCTTTTGTAGCACCTTTACCATGAAACCTCTTTTTTTTTTTGCGTTGTGCTTGATTCCGAGTTCCAGAGTTTCACCTCAATGCACAAATTAGAAGCAACATGCTTATCTCCAATCCACATAGTTTGCCTGCTAGTCCTAAGATTTTAGGGTTCTTAAATCAAGCATTTTAATTTGGCACTTCCACATCCAGCGATGCATTTCTAGACTGAATACATATATCAAATGTAACTAATACGCTGTACCAGACTACAGACATTATCACACAAATAAAGTATGTGACAAAAGACGAAGCTCCATTAATCCCTGGTCTTGTTTTGGCAGTCAGGTTCAATTCCACGAGCTTCTTCTAATGTTAATTTGATGCCTGGCGGGGGGGCGGGGGGGGGGGGGGGGGACTACAGAGGGTGTTATACATTCAATATCGTCTGTCCATCTTGTGCTAGACACGCCGTGAAGAGATTTCTCATAATTGTGGACTAGAACTAATCAAGCTGTAAACGGCTTGTACATTTGCGAAGTGTGTTATGGCATCAGTCATGCATTCTACTGCATCATTTCCACAAAATTAAGTGTGTGGCATCCACATGGTGAAAGTAAAACTGTTTCCCACTGCGCAAGTATTTTTGATTGGGCACCTTTATATGTTCCTGTCATGTCGGCTGCCTTGTCATGGCACTGTGTACGAAAATCTGACAGTGGTAATTTGTGTTCTTTAATGTTTCTGCTATCATCTGCACTATGTCGTATCCTGTTTTATGTGCAAATCTTTCTACAGTTCCATACTGGTTTTCGTATGGTGTAACATAACCCCCGCCCCCCTAAAAAAAAGTTGGTGTTCATCATGGGATGAATCTGGCGTGGAACATCAAAGTGATTTGTAGTTGTTCTTTCCTCCAACATATATTGCTTTACAAGTAAGTAACATTCAACAACTGACTTGTTGTTAGAGTCGGCACTCGGCACTAAGATCATGTACTTGAAGTCCTTGTCCCGGTTCTTGTTACTCGTTAACTTGCAACACTTGACTTATTGTTGAACTAAACGACAGTGAGACCATAACTCTGTGACTCCCATGACAGTTCCATTTTTTACACCAGTGCGCTGGAAACTGTCACGAACACGAAAGTCTCTGTTCACAAAGGAATTCTACAAAACACACCAATCATGTGTATATTTTCGTTTCTTCAAAACTAAACAAGTTAAAACAAAAATTTTGCTGTTGGATTATCCAGAAATGAATACCCATCAGCTGGATATCTGCTTCATTTTTCAGTTCAAATTCCCCTCCTCCACCTCCTCCCCGCTCTAGCTCCCGTTTTCCCTAGTGCCCCCACCCCTTTTTCTCCATAGACGTTATGCCAAACAAGGCTGCAATGCAGTTTTGCTACAAACACAAAACATGATGTAGCTGTCCACTATTGTTCTTTTTCAAAATATGGTTTCATAAGCATTTTCTTGTTCGTGGGCCCTCTTTGAGCTTTATACGCCCCGGGACAATTTACCGACCGCACGCCCTTCCCGCAAACTATGCCAGTAGAGTTGTGCCTCAGAGACATCAGATGGTAGTGGTAGTGACAGCGATAGTTCAGCATTGGATCCAGGTATACCTGAACTGCAAACTGCAATGCCGCAGATATTGTGGACTTTGCAGAGATATCTTGTCAAGTGTGTAAAATGTGTAATGAGAATGGTACACTGACTTGTGGTCATAATAGACTAGCCACAGATGATGCCAATGCTGCCACTAGTTTCAATGGAAAACTTAAGCTCCGTAAGGGCTTTATCAACGGTCGAGAGTGCTCACTTTTGATAGTCTCAGGAGCGACAGTGTTGGGCATCAGGAAGAGCTTAAATGAAGTCATGGGTTACACACAAACTGATGGACGCAGCCTAGAGCACGGGAAAGCCAGTTGGTGGTCAAAAGCCACAGCCTAAAAACACAGAGACATGGTGATACAACAGATAAGGGACACTGAAAACGAGACTCTCGTCTAAAAAGCCCCGCAGCAAGGCGAGTGGGTCGGCCTCGAGAGCGATTTGCCCCGAAAACCCACAGAGGGTGAGATCTGGCGAATGGCCACTCTGCGGCTGAGCTTTGTCGTAAGCTCTGCGTACAATGGGTTACCGTCTGGCGTCAACGTGGTGAAATGGCATGCGACTACCGATCCTTCATGCGCACTGTGCAGAGCTAAGTAGACACTCGAGCACGTATAGTCCATCATCATCATCATCATGTAGCAGGTCCTTTACAGAACGTCGCTTTCATCACAGTCTGACTGTAAGAAACTCGGTCTCTTGCCAGTTCTCCCGCCTCATGAACTTTCACACTCAAGGAGTCACTTATATCCTGTGCCCATCTTCGTGTCGGTCGACCCCTGCCCCTCCTTCCTGGTACCATGCCTTCTGCTATAATTTTGGAACGTCCAAACACTTTGCCGGCCCCGAATGACTGCTCCATCTGTGTCAACCACAGGATCATCTACGCTTGTCAGTCAGTGTTTTAACCGCTGTGTCTCTAATACCGTGAGTTTAATCTCCTCATATTCAGTCATGCCTACGGACAATGATTTTAATATTTGGGGCTGCAGGCGGAAGTGTCAAGTCCTTACTGAAATTAATGTATGCAAGGCGACAGACTTTCGGAAACCATTATAAGCACAGGCCACAGTGTTTCTCTTTCAAGCTTGATTTTTCCTAAACACAATTCGTCGTGAAGCTGGTGTCCAAGGTCTGCTTCACCTTGATTAAAGCGGCGATACAACAGGCTCCCTTATGCTCTCATCGCCTGCAGACTTCTCGAGCACACTGACAATTAGCTCATTGTGAACGTGAAAAAAAGAACGTTGAAAACGACACACCGCTGATATGACACGCAATGTTCATTGATTTCAACAAATGTCTTCTTCATCAGTGTAAGGGAGCTAGAAACATTTAGGGACGACAACATCGGCAGCACACATCAGCATCACTAACTTCAATCGACTTTAAACGTTACTTTTCATAACATGATGAACCTAAAGAGGTTGAAATTCAGCAAATAATTCAAGATAATGCTCGCTCAGAGGATTTGATCATTTACACAGACGGTTCAGTGTCAAGAGGCGAAAGAAGTGCTTGGGGCTTCTTAGCAAAAGTTATTGGTCGACGTTCGGTGCAGGAGAGCCTAGCATATGATACCACAACATCCAGCATAAGAATGGAGGTGGAGGCAGTCACTGCAGCTTTCCGCTGGCTAGAGAACACGACACACACACACATCGCGATTGTAACTAACTCAGAAAGCATGCTGAGAAGGATTAGAACAGGTATGCTTCGTGCAGAGTGGCATGCTTCGCTGCGGAGGACACGGGTGGGGAGTATTGTCTGGATTTTTTTTTTCACAGTTAGTGCTCCTAGAGGTTGTGTGTTCCCCAGGAGCCGCCCGGTTTCGAACACCGACCATGGGCTGCAGCTAGTCGCAGTAGGATTTGAAATCGAGCCTCTTATCGACTGCGCTAACGCCCCAACCCCCCCGATCTAAAATATAAAAGTCCATGTGTCAGAAAAACTGGCAATCTCGTGGAGAGGTCCCAAAAACCCCGTTCAGCCGTTAGGCCATATTTATGGTCCGGCTATATTCAGGGCCCCCGGTAAAAGACGGCGGGGAGTGGGGGGTGGGGGGGGGCGCCTTCAAATAACTAAAACTTGTATCCCACATAGGGACCACTATACATATAATGTTTTTGTGTGAAAAAGGATATCTCCACGTCCACAGAGTGTTGCCAACGCCGTGTTCATCAATAACTGACTGAAGATCAACACCCCCAAGACTGCCTGCACAAGGAGCGATTAACACCTGGTGACACAAAGTGCCACAATGCGGATAGAATCACCCGGCGGCAAGTTCCAGAAACCCCATACAACTGTCAGGTTATATTAACACCCCCCCCCCTCCCACCCCACACCCCGGGTCCCTGACGACAGCCACGGTGGGACTTCAAAACAACAAAACTATTGCCGTCCCATATTAGAGCGAATAGTTCGTGAATTGATCATCATCATCATCATCATCATCAATGTTCACTTCTGTTGTGGGAAGGAACAGTTTGCGATCCAGTGCTTGATGACCAGCGATGGCTGCAACCAGTCTGTGTTCCGGACATGCACTGAGATGCACCAGACCTGCACTGAGATGCACCAGACCTGCACTGAGATGCACCAGACCTGCACTGAAATGCACCAGACCTGCACTGAGATGCACCAGACCTGTACTGAGATGCACCAGACCTGCACTGAGATGCACCAGACCTGCACTGAGATGCACCAGACCTGCACTGAGATGCACCAGACCTGTACTGAGATGCACCAGACCTGCACTGAGATGCACCAGACCTGCACTGAGATGCACCAGACGTGCACTGAAATAGAATATTAGTGAGTTTAGGAAACGAGGGCGTCCAAAATAAACTTAAGGACGGAAAGCTCCTGTTGAGCTCTTTCCTCTGTAGAGTTTCTACTACACATACGGCAGCGGTGGAGGCCAAGATAAGAATCAAACTTTCTTTCACTATCCAGGACGAGGTCGGGCTATTTAGTCTAATGTTTACACACACACACACACACACACACACACACACACACACACACACATATATATATATTATATATATATATATATATATATATATATATATATATATATATATATATTCGGAGAGAGAGGAAGGGAGAGAGAGAGAGAGAGAGAGAGAGAGAGAGAGAGAGAGAGAGAGAGAGAGAGAGAGAGAGAAAGAGAGACAGAGACAGAGAGAGAGAGGAAATAAAACAAAAAAGTTACAGTCATGCTTACCTGTGTTCGGGTATAGCCAGTGTAAATATAACACTCAGCACCTGGAAAGCTGCGTTAATGCCTACTAAACACAACAGATGGTAAAGTCGCTTCTGATAAGGTCCAAACTCTCCCACTTCTGCTAAGACGTCGTCAAACTTCATTCTTGAAACTCAAACTAGGAACCACGGTGCTCTCTGGAATCATCAGAACATCTGATTAACATCTCGAGTACAACGAATTTTTGCCCACAGATTTTATTTTTCGTTTTGTATTCTAAAATCATCTCATATAATTAGAAAACAGCTGATCACTTTCGTTTTAGAGACATTGGGAACAAAGATCTTGTCATTGGAATAGTCAGCTATACAGTAACACCTCGTTAACACCAATTGCAGTGGACCAAATACTCAAGATTTGGTTAACATAAAAAAAAAAAAAAAAAAGTCTGCTGACCACGGACTAAAATACGATAACAATAATCTACGATACTAAAGAATTATCATTCCCCTGGCAAGACATCCACGTGGCTGCTTCTAAAATACCCAGTTAAATGATTGTGTGTATTCTTGTTGTGTTGTTTGATTTCATTTATGTGCTGGATTAAGGCTCTAAAGCCCAGCGTTCAAGTTTTGTTTGTTTTTGTTATACTATGTGTTTGTTATACTATGTGTTTGTTATACTATGTGTTTGTTATACTATGTGTTTGTTATACTATGTGTTTGTTATACTATGAAGCTCGCTGATCTTCATTTTGTTCGTTTATTTTTATCTCTCCATGAAGAATTTTTAGCTGCGTTGAGCTGGTCAACTAGCCCACATGCCAGATTATCGCCTCCCAAAGAGAGTATATTATGGCGAGCTTCAGCAAGGGAAGAGGTCTCAGGGAGGACCCCCCCCCCACCCCCCCCCCCAAAAAAAAAAGCCGTACAAGGACACTCTCAGAACTGTTCTCAATTCTTTCAGCACCAACAGCATCTGAGGCTGCTGCATACGTCCGGAGTGTTGTGAAGATAAAAACTTAACTGATAACTTATACCTGACTTAGAAAGCATGATGAGGAAGGTGAGAAGAGCAAGGTGGGGACAGGCCTGCTTCGTGCAGTGTCATGCTTCGTTTCGGAGGTCACATGTGAGGAGAATTCTCAGGATCTATTCTCCAGCCTATGCGGGTGTGTTGGGAAATGAACAGACGGACTGATTGGCTGGCTTTGCACAACTTGGAAGAATACCGATGCATGATAAAGCAGGCGTGACCAATGCCCTGTGTATCTTGGTAGTCTTGGTAATCTTAGTTTCAGCTTCATAGCAAACGGGTCACCCCGTAGTTGCTCCGCTCCTGTGCCAACGAAAAACGCACAGCATAAACACGCCTTAAAAGCATAGGGTAGCCATCAGAAGTGCTAACACAAACAGTCCGACATTAGAAATGCAGCTCATCATCAATGGTAGCAGAAGTCACCAACGGATCAGCAATATCTCAAGTGATCAATTTTAATCACATAATGGCAAAACCAGTATTGCGACAACATGCATTGCGTCATTTTCTGAATCTACAATTCACAAAACCACGTTGGTCACAGTAAAAAAACATTTCAAATGAAATCCACAGCTCACAGTGTCGCGCCCTGCACTCAACTCAGAAGCCGGGCGACGAAACTATATCCTTTCGGTCTACAAATGGAGCAAAAATGCAACGGCCACCGTCTGGGAAAAGTAAACAATTTGCCAAGACTCAAAACAGTGACCTTGCCTAGCATCAATTTTGACCGGAAGTCTAAAAGAGGAGCAAAGATATCAACACCCTATCGGGCTGCTACTCGACGCTCATAGGAAAGGAAAGACGGACGTTTGATCAGACTGCTAGTAGTAAGTACTATTGATATTGTAACTGCGCTGGCTGCTAAAGAGTGGGACGCGATGGGAATGCCTGGAGTGTTGTCATGTGGGTTCTCGAAGCAGCTAAACTCGGCTCAACTCTGAGAATCCGGTTACGTATTTAAAATCGATAGTTAAACATAAAGGGTGTCGTTTATCCCAGTTTCGTCCTTTTTAGGACATTTTTTTGTTATTTGAAGCTCCACCCTGGCTTTTGCCAGGGGCCGCAATATAGGCAGGCCATAAATATCACCAATTGTCTGAACGCGGTTTCTGGGACCTCTCCACGGCAATCCTCATCCACATGGTGGCACTTTGTGTCATCGGGTATTTATCACTTGTGTGATGTCCTAGTGGGGTAGAAAGTCAGTCAGTCAGACATCGGAAAGAATAGTACAGGCACTTCTAAAATTCTAAAATAAAAAAAAAAATAAAAAAATGCTGAAAAAAAAAACCATTTTAACCTAGTGTATTTTTGAGATTAACATTGTTATTTTTTTTCACTCCTTCAAATTGCGATACGTTCCGTGTGATTCCGTTTCTTTTTTGAACATAGCATGCTTGTTAGATGCATTGAATTTGTTGTTTGAAAGATGTTTGGAAGAGCCAAGTGTAAAATACACATGCATGCCCAATTTGCGACCCTTTAAAAGGTAACGTTCTTTAGTTTTTTCCCCCCAGCAAATCGGCCAATCATCTACCGAGAGTATTCACAGAGCACGAATACTGTAGTTCAAACTACGATTATCAGTTATCTTCGAAGAAATTGCATGCATGAATTGAACAACCCAGTTTGAAAACCAAACCTTGATAAGGAAAGGGCCAGACCATAAGGCCACCTAGACCTCATGATCACCCCAACCGCCTTTAATTTTAATGTATTTCCTGATACATATTTTAGGTTGGCACAGGCTATTCACCTTCCACCACACATGTCTACGTAGATAATTAAAGTATCTGACCAGATACAATCTCAAAAACTAAACAACTTCAAGTCACAAACTAAGAATCTCTAGACAGTATGATAACAAAGAGAAAATGGAAATGGCTTGGCCACGTCATGAGAATAAATCCTGATATACTTTACTTGCCAAAACAGCTTTCACTTGGACACCAAAGGGAAAGAAGGGGCGTCTAAAAATAACATGGAGACGAACGATGGAAAGTGAACTTAGTGCTGCATCTTTGACATAGAAAACTGCACCGAAGATTGCACATGAAACGAAGGCATAGAAAGTCCTCTCTAAAGCCTCATAGGCCACTAGGCATTAAAAAAAAAAAGAGAGAAATTTAAGGTTGGGCGAACCTCAGTGAAAAATTCGAACCTAAGACGTTCGGACAAGCAGGCATGTGTCTGGTCACTGCACTAACCCACATGTCAAACCCTACAATCAGGGCTGCCAATAGGATTTTTTGTAAAGCCTAGCCCTGCAGAACAAAAACCCAAGCAATACATAGGCAACGAAAAAAAAAAAAAAAAACAGGTTGTGAAAAAGTACACATTTTATAGTTAGAAAACGAAATATTTACCCACTTTTACCTAAGGATATATTTTTTTAAAGCCTAGATGTCAAAATCTGAACCCAAGGCGTCATAAAATCCCAGATCTGGTGGTAAAACCCCATCATTGGCAGCCCTGCCAACAATCCAACAGTTGAGAGTCGATTAGTTCCTGGCTTGTCTAGTCTGACGGCAAAGGGTCGTCTCATCATTGTTCCGTTCCTGTGTTGGAGAATACCGAACGGAATGCTCGTGTCGTCCATCATTGTTCCGTTCCTGTGTTGGACAAACCCGAACGGAATGCTCGTGTCATCCCATCATTGTTCCGTTCCTGTGTTTGAGAAACCCGAACGGAATGCATGTCACTGTTCCCATGTGACAAGTGAGACAGAAATAACCTAAAAAGAGTTTAAAGCTAGAAGAACCAATTCCTTGCGCCAGATTTTTATTCCACACATTTCGGTTCGGTCTTTGCCCGCAGATTAGTTGTCTGTTTTGAATTGGTAAATAGAACAGACAACTGTATCATCTGTATCATCTGTATCATCTGTATCATCTGTATCATCTGTATCATCTGTATCATCTCGATGCAGAATACTGTTGGCAAACTTTTGGAAAAAATTGTCGCACAAAGATTGACCACCTACTTGGAACTACATGATAAGTTCCCACCAACACTCAGAGGGTACAGATTAAATAAAGAGACATGGTTCAATGCTGCTGTTTTCGCCTACGATGTGTACGGGGGATTTCAGATTAAAGAAGAGACATGTGCGGCAGTGTTGGACTTAGAAGATGCCTACAATAAAGTACCATATGATTATTTAATGCAATTACTGCTTAAACTAGAAGTTAATCCTATTCTGATCCGCTGGATTGGTGCGGTCCTGTTCCATAGAAAGATTGTACTAAGATGTGGTAGCTGGTCCTCAGAACCGCAAACGATATGTCCAGGCTTGCCACAGGGATCACCGCTATCACCAGTCTTATTCAACGTTTATACTGTGATGATCACTGAGCAGCAGTTGAATGGAAAGGGAAGGACTTTGTCATTTGCTGATGACATTTTGATTTATCGACGAGGGCGTGATAGACAGGAGATCGCCAGCACTATGCACAAAGAACTCGATCGAATTGCCGCCTGGTGTGATGGTTCCAATGCCTATGTCAATCCTTCGAAGGCATCAGTGTCATGGTTCTCTTTGAACAATCACATTGTCAAGTCGGACTTACCAGAAGTGAAAATGCGTGATAATGTATTGATCAGAACCAACGTTATGACGTTTCTCGGGGTGAGATCCGATCGCAGCTTGTCATTCAGGGAACACGTTGACCATGTAATAACAAAAGCACGCAAAGGTCTATCTGCAATGAGGATTATGGCTGCTTCCAATATCGAGCAAAGACTACTAATACTTCTATTCTACGGTCTGGTCCTTTCCCCCATTGAATACGCTCTGGCCATCCTCACTGTCAGTGCTACCCAGATTGAACGACTCGAAAAGGTGCAAAATGAAGCCATGCGCATTATTTTGGGATGTACAAGAGACACATCCTGTGACGCAATGAGGTATCTACTTGACTTTCCAACAATGAACCAAAGGATCAGGATGTGGAGGGTTCGGGCATATCTCAAAATATGTGCTGATAAGAAACACCCACTGCATCAAACGCTTTTTAGTGAAAAGGGCGACAGACTGAAGAGGGGGAAATGGTGGCTAGGTCGGGCAGAAGATGTTATTAGGCAAATATGCAGCCTAACCGACATCATACCTGGTGCAGAATGA